AGAAGAAAGACTACTAGGAAACATGTGTGGGGAAAAGGGGTATGGCACAGAGACAGGACTCACAGGGTGAGTGGGGGCAGGCTGGTTTGCCCTGGGCCTTTAGAAATGTCCAGGCCTCTACTCTCCATCCTTATTCCATGTGGGAGGAGCGGGGATGTCTTGGAGCCTGGGGGAGGGAGAGAGTTGGGGAGGGGGAGGGATCTGGACACAGTGCAGACATGGGGGGCTGAGGGCCGCTGGTGGGCTCTGGTGAACCCATGCCTAACCTGGTCCCTCTCTCCCTGATGAACTGGGACTGGGGCCCTCTCTGCCCCTGGGTCTCTCCTCTACACTGCATTCACTCCTGGCTCATTTCAGACTCTGAGTCTTCTTAGGTGTGGTTTGTGACACCCAGCATGCTCTTTCTTTGCTTTGTATACCTCAAGTTTATTCATTTCCTTATCAGAGTGGGGCTCATTCCTATTCCCTCCCTAAACCTTCTGGTTCAGGGTAAAGACCTCCACCTGGTCTTAGCACCGGGGAGCTCTTCCTGTTGGAATTCTCATGGAAATGGATCTTCATGACTCCTGTTCCCTGTCTATATCCACAGGTAGCTTCCTGGCTGTGGCCAGCACACAGCCCTGCACTGAGAAGGACCACACTTGGCTAAATGCTCTGTTGTCACTGTCCTGAAATTCTCAGTAATATTTATCAAGGGATATTACATTTTTATTTTGCACTAGGACCCACTAGTGATGTAGCCAGTCTTGCCTAATCAAATATATTAATGAAAACTAAGAGCTATATCTTATGTTTGATTAAAACATATATTCTCTGAATATGAATCAACCAGAGCAAAGAGGTACTTTTGATTTACGTCTAAATATGGAAGGTTATCAGGTATTTTAAAGATTTTTGATGCCCTTACCATACTTCTCTTCATGAAAAAATGCTTAGGAAAGATTAGGGACCAGGAATGAGTAAATTTCATCACTTTCTGTCACAGCAATGAAGCAGTAATAAGAAAAATAAACAAAAAACCTTTTCTTCAAGTCCCAGGCCATGTCTGGACCAAGGGATTGACACTTAATAGCAATTAGATTATAACTAAGACCTTTTTCGGGGGGGTGGGCATGAAAAACCTTTAATAAAGCAATGAACTTTAACTCACAGCTCTGAGGATGCATCCTTTGAACTGAAGCTAGATATCCTTCTGATTGAAGGCTCCTGAAACTATCTAACCAGTCCTAGTCATGGGTTGAACTATATCCCCCCAGGTAAAAGTACACTCAAATCCTAACCCCTGGCCTCTATTAATATGGCCTTATAGAAATAGGTTCTTTGAGGGTACAATGAAAATGAGGTTACCTTGGAGTAGGCTAGACCCTGAATCTAATGACTAGTGAGTGATCCTGTAACTTGTAGGTGGCTTGTGTCAGACCTAGACAGACACAGGGAGAAGAAAATGACATGAAGATGGAGGCAAGAAACTGCAGGATGTTGTCTGCCCACAGTATAAGCCAGAGGGACTCTAAGGACTGCCAGTCGTCCCCAGAAGGTGGGAAAGAGACATGGGAGAACTGTAGAACCTTTAGAAGGAACTAACACAGCCCACACCTCGACTTCACATGTCTAGCCTCAAAAACTGTGAGAAAATAAAGTTTTATTTTTTAAGCCACCAAGTTTGTGATCATTCATTATGACAGGAAATTAATAGTCTTCATATATATAATTTTTTTTAAATTAGGGAAAGTGAGAGACACAACATATGAATAATAAAATAATAATAGATGTTAACATCAAATGAATACTTACTATATGGTGGCATAGATCAAGATAAGTAATTTACAGGTGTCTTTAAACCTCATGGTACTCCCATTTTGCAGATGAGGAAACTGAGGCTGAAAGAGCTCACATTTTTTCTAAAGACCATGTCATGGTCAAGAGTGCTAAGCCAGCTACAGCAATCTCATCGTGAGCTTAAGGTGGGCAGGAATGACAGACAATCAGATTGCTGGGGCTGTGGGGTTTGCTGGCCCAGAGATTTTCTAGAACTTAGCCACAGATATTATTGGGGTAGTCCATTAAAAGAGACGATTTCATCTTCAGGAGAGTGCCTCTTTCAGCCAGCTAGGAAATAGAGCTGCCACTGTAAAAGGAGTTGAAGAGTGGAGTGTTTTTTCTCTTGACAATTTTCATTTTAGAGTGCAGCCTGCTAATTTCACCATTCTTTAATAAATACTTCATCATGGGTGCCTAGTACATGTAAGTAACCCTAAAAAATTCAGGCCTAAAATGAGCAAAACTTGCATCAGTGTAATACAATGTTCTAAAAGGACTACACATAATTATTGCAGGAAATGAGGCATAATTGCAATATGGTTTCAAAAGCTTTTGTTCTGGCTCAATTCTGGCCTTTCCTAGATGTGCTTGTTTGAAAAGACGCACGGTAGATATGGACTGCACTTATGAGCAACAGCTGGGATGTTTCAAAAAGGACAAGGCACAAATTCCTAACTTGTACAGTGCTGGGAGTTTCTGTTCACTCCTCTGGATGAGGTTCTTGGGTAGAAAAAGGAAGAACTTTTATTGGGGGAACAGACCTGACTGAGGCAAAAAATCTTGTCATGGGGTGAGGCATCAGGCTCTCCTGGCAGATTTGAATCTCAGGCAGGAATGTGGATGGGAGCCAGTATAAAAATATAAGCATTCATTATTTGAACACTTACTGTATGGCAGGATATAATATCCTCAAATAACAATCTAAATACAAATCAAGAAAGTTCCAGAATAAAAACTATTAGAGACTAACAAATAAGCTAATGTAAAATTAAGATATATTCAAGCAAATGGTAGGGTCTCTGTATGAGAATACTTCCTTTGGTTAGTGGCTTGTTACTAAAATTCCACTGCTGTAATTATAGCATGGACCTGCTTTTAGAATATTCTTCCAAACCCCATACAAAGTTTCCACTTTCAGTTTGTTGACGATGAAGAAAAAGTAAAAAGACTAGGGTTGGAAGGGGCCAGGAATGACAAAGGAAATGCCTCCTCTGGTCCCAGCCACTCATTCTTAAGGACAGTGACACGGACAGTACCATTCAAAGCCACAAGCCACTAGAGGATCTGCCAAGTTTCAAAGATGCCTATTTAAAACACAGAGAGACACGCTCCTGTCTGGCTTATGTGCCCTCTCTTGAACAGCATGTCTAGTTTGGGCCCTTTCATCTCCCAATAGCGGTAAGTTAGAAGTAGCCACACTGAATAGATTCTGAGTTTTTAAGTCAAATTTAAAAAGCTGCTTTTGCTTTTCAGTGACAAATATATACTACACCACAGTAGCAAAAGCACTATTTAAGAAATAAGGTCCAACTATCTTTTTGTTTTAAAATGCCTTAAGAATAATTTCCCGTTCAGAGATCTAAGAGGAGAAGGATTGACAATGATTTTGAAGTTATCAATGAACTAAATATGCATGTGTGTTTTTAACATCAGCTCAGACACAGAATGTAGACGGAGAAGCTATTCCATGCAAATATTATGGTAGGACATAATTCCACTTATATCTTAAAGGAGAATTAATTGGAATTTTCCAAAGGAAGGAAAAGGATTTACAAGTCCAAGAAGATCCACCCTCTCATCCATGTTAGTGCATCCACAGGAAGCAAAAAATCAGGGATTTCTGCCAAAAGTCAGAAAAACACTTTCTTAAGGTAAAAAGGTTAACGACGGCTGAAATACAAAACAGGAAGAAAAAATCCAAAGACTTTATATACTCCAAATTAGGCCTGTCACAATTCAGTGATGGGAGAAGTACCAAGAGACTTGGCGTGAAAGAGGACCTATATAATGCAGTTCTTTACCCTAATGCTAAATATATAGGCCTGAATATTTCCATCCCTCAGTTCAATGACAGCATGCAAGTGCCTGAACCCCTTGCTTTCTAAAAACAGAGGCAGGGAAACAGACTAAACTAACACAAATATATATTTAATTGATGCACATTTATTCTTATGAAGGCAGTTAGGAACAGAAGAAAACTGGTTTCCCTTTTTGCCTCTGACCAAAGATTACCTAACTCCAAGAGTCATTCGGGCTATTGGCCCTAATGGAAATCAGAGCTTAAAAAGGAAAGTAATTCACATTCTTTTCTCCCTGGATCCTTTAATTCTAACTTCTTCAAGTGCCAAATCATCAGCCCCTTTGCTGGGGTAAGTCTCTCACTCTAGTTTGTCTCATCCTCCCTCAGCAGCTTCCTAAGCTAGGTAATTAGGCATCAGAGTCCCCTCCAAGCCCGTCTTGGACATCATGGTAGAGCAAAGGAAGCAGGCCATAATTTTCTGACAAAAAGTCAGATCTGCAAGTGCTGGTCTAAAACGGAGATAGCAGTCTTTCCCATTTGTAAATGCACATGGGAAAATCCACTTAACCTCCTACCAGGTCGCCCTATCTTTTGTTTGGTCTGGAGAGGAGCATCCAGCTTGGCTAGGCTTTGAGAGTGCCCTGTACCCAGAGCACACACAAAAGGCACTGGATGGTAGCTCTTGTCCTTATTTGCTTTCACAGCTGTCTACACAGAAATGAAGGGAGTTAGCATTGCTGAAAACAAAAGACAAAACACAAAACCTGAAACAGGCAACTGTTCTCACTCACCCAGAAACAGCAATACTCTTTCATTGCTATTCTGAGTGGAAAAGTACTGCTGTGCTTTCACTGGGGCTTCTGCAAATGCCACAGATTGGGCATGCTCTGTTTTCCTTTCATTGGACATGGGAAGATGAAGAGGAAATGGGCCTAATTCTCCAGAATTAAGGCAATATACACATAGGTGTTTCTGGGCACAAGGATCAAGCAAAATGCCTTCTAAGGACTCCATTTTGATTAGATACAAAGGTACAGTGTTAAGCACAAAAACAAAGGAATTTGCAGGCTCCTGTCTTTACCACCAGAGACCAGATGGAAAGCATTCACAATACCTCCCCACCTGCCCTGGTATGGCAGAAGAAAGGACATAGGCTTACCTTGAAGTTGTGTGTCTTCTCATAGTTGAAGTGGTTGTCGTTGTGTGTAAGGGCAGCCCTTCGAACCAAGGAGGAGATCTGTGAACAGGCAAAGAGTTTGAGAGGAGGCCAAAGCAAGCTGCTTTTGACTCCCACCTTCACCCCTAAGGCCACAGCCAGGAGCTCTTGGCGTTTCCTGCCTTGCTTAGACTTCCGAACCACAGCACACTTTTTCTCATTTTCCAGCCACAGTTCCTGGGAGAACATAGTGCCTGGTCTCAGCTCTCTCTAGTTTCCCCTTCGGAGTCTGGGAAGCTCCCTGCTGTCAGGGTTTTCGAAGCGCGGCTAATGTTAGGCAGCAGATTTGAGGCAGCTGCGTCCTGTCTGCAGAGGCCCCAACATGTGACCTGGAAGGGCCGGTTTGAGTGATGGAGGGGGCTCTGCTGCTGAATAAGGACGGGCCTGTTTTGTGCTATTTCTTAAGGCTGGCGTGTGCCTGAAACAATAGCACACATTCATGTGCGCAGCAACCCCCAGGAGCTGTATCCAGTCAGTCACTCAGGATCAGGGAGGCAGGGGCAGCTGGCTTTATTCTTCTTGCCCTGGCACATAGCAAAGGAGAGACTGCTCCTGCTTACTAGTACATTACACACACACACACACACACACACACACACACACACACACACACACACCACCTCTGATGTTCAAACTCTGAGGCTGTATCCAATTATGCTGGGTCTCTGAACCCCATCCTGGGCTGAACTCCAGCAGATTAAGCCTTTAAACCCCAATGATTGTTTAATCTTACAGGGATAAAGCCTCATCTCTTTTTTCAAATCTGCCCCAGCACTTGAAAGCTTCATCTTTATTCTTATGCATGCATTAAATTGGAACAGGCTGGGCACTAACTGGGGTATCAAAGAAGTGTACAACATCTCAGCTTGGAGTTTTACAGTCAAAGTTACAAAGTGAGAGGCAGGATGTCTTGCTCTAGAATACCTCCCTGTTTCTTCTCTCCCTTTCCTTCTACCCCCACTAAACCCACATAGCCAAGACATTCCTTAACGAAACCACAAACATCACCATTTTTAAAAATAAAATATCTTTGATGCTCATTCTGTCATTACCCAGCCTATCTAAATGTCCTTTTTGCTCTTAAGAGTATCTCACACTTGATGGCCTTCTGTGGGACCACAGTTTCTGGTCCCAAGTCCCTCCATTAATAAAAGAGGGGAAGTCACAATGTCTTGGGAGTACTCCTGTTAGGCTGCTGAACTTTAGTGCAGCTGATACCAGACAGTAACATCAATACTGTAGGAGCTACAAAGCAAGAAGAACATAGATGGCAGGACCATTATGGAGATGAACAGTCTGTAAATTTCATCCTGTCCCCTACTGAGACATAGCCTCACATCTCACCAAAGCCCTTCCAAGGAGCTTTGTGGACAGTAATAAAAAATCAACACTTTTCTCATATAACTCTCTACTTGTGTATTCTACCATCATTTCATCTCATTTCAGAAATCCATTCTCTTATTTCATCTTGTGACCTTTAATACGAACAGCCATGTTTTACAGTGTGCATAATAACTTTAGCTATGGCAGATGGTACTCAGAATATATTTAATGTTTATACTTATTTAATCTCCAGTACATAGGTATGAAAAGCAAGATTTTAATCCCCATTTTATAGATGAGGAGAGTGAGGCACTGAGAGGTACAATACTTTGGCTGAGGACATGCAGCTAGTTTAAACTGCAGAACCAGGTCTAGGATACAAAGCATCTATATCCAGAGCCTGCAATTCTAAACTTGTGCCCTATGTCTAAGTACAGTGATAGGCTGCCACATCATGCCACCATGTGCTGCCATGTGCATTATCTGAAACGCTGGTTAGATAGCCCCACAATAATGCAGACCCTCATCACCACTCTAGTCCACCTTGCACACATATGTGGGATGATTCCTAATCCAAACACCCTTCCCCATCTGCTCAGCAAATGGCTGTTGTTCTCTGTTACTTAAATATGTTCTGGCATTGCAGGTTTTCAAGAGCTAGTTGCAGTACACCTAGCTCATACTATTTCCCTATACAAATCAAATAAAATCTCTTTTCTGACATACTCACCTTCTCACCTTAGTAGCTTGCTCTGTTCTTTAAGATATTATCATCATTTTGGCATGTCTACATCTTCACCAACATTCACATTCTAATTCATATGTCCAAAAAGACTTTTCCAAACTCCCCACTGGAGGTAAGCTGTCCTATGAAATCTGATGATGTTTTATCCACATTTCTCTGGTTGTATTTATCACTATCTTGTATTATAGTGATGATCTTACTCCCATGTCATACTGAAGATGTATCGTGACATACATATGACTAACTTGCCCTTGTTTCCCCCTACAAGAGGGTCAAGATTCCTTGCCATAGAAGGCATTGAATAAATATAAGGTAGTGGAAAGCACTTGCTCTGGAGGAAGAGCTCTGGACGAAGGCGGGCAGAGACATCTGCATGGCACAGGGTCTCCCACTTGACCCTGTGATCACCCCTTTTGGTACCTCTGCTTCCAAGGACCTGAACCTCCAGAAAGCTGCCCTCCCCATGGGTTCCACCAGATTCCTTCGCCCTCCTTTGCACTGTCCAATCTAGGACAGCTGTCACTCCTAGGGATCAAGCAGAGGCATGGCATACCTCAGAAAGTCTTCCAGTGCCTGGCTTAAAGGTAAAAAGATGGAGCTGAGGAATAAGGATCCTTTACCAAACCTTCACTCTTAGCAAACCAAGAGATACCCTTCGATAGCCAGCCAGCCATGTTGGGTAAGAACAAATGCTGTGATCTGAACTAGGTCAATTACATGAATATTCTCTTTCAGAATCTGATTAACTTTTTAAATAAAAAGTGAGCAAAAAGGTTCTCCTTCTCATTTTGGTATTTGGGTGAGTACAAGGAGATTTCATATTTTCTATTATTGGGTCTTTATTGAGAACAAGTGATTTTTTTAATTTGTGACAGTGATTTCTTTTTCAGATATTTATTCAATAGAATCTATGCAAACACAAGACACATTTAGACATGAGCAAGAAACACACATTGTTCCCTCAAGGATCTTTTTACAGGGGACTGTAAGTATTAGTATTGGCACAAGCCTGATTGTGAGTAGTGTAGCTGACCTCAGGTCACCCTCTTATTAAAGGAAAATGATTACAAAAATCTCTTGATAAAAATCTCCCTCTTATAGATTGTACTCACACAGAGCTCTTCTTCATCTAAGCCCCTGGAGGACAGCTCCTCAGTCCCCTTTACATCTTCCACAATGTCAAATATAGCATTCTCTACACACAGTAGACCCTGAACACTTTTGCTGACAGTCTTTTTCCAATAGAAATTTCCATCTGACCTATTTTATCTATACATTCAAGAAATGAAGCACTTTTCTCTACACATTCTGTTTAAACCAGGGATTCTCCCTGGAAATGCTGACGTTTTGGTCAGGATAATTTTATTGGGGTAGAGGCCTGTCTTGTGTATGGTAAGATATTTGGGAGCATCCTTGGGCCCTTCACTAGATGACAGCAGCACACACCCAATTGTGATCACTGGCAATAAGGCATTTTACAGATTTTGACTCATTTAGGATGTGTAAGGCTACAGTGGGCACTGTCACAATGGCCTCCATCTTCCAGGTTAGGAAATGGGAACTGAGAGTTTAAGAAACTTCTCCAAGGCTGTGGCCACTGGTAACTGGTAGAATGCAGGCAAAACTAACAAGGTCTGTGCATCACCCCACACTCCAGAACAAGTTTCTTTAATTTTTTCTTGTGGTAAAATACATTTAACATAAAATTCACCATTTTAAAATATATAACCCAGTAGCACTTAATACATTGCACAATGTTCTAGAACCATGACCACTATCTAGTTCCAGAATATTTCACAACCTTCAAATGAACCCTCAGTTACCCATCAGGTGTCACTGCCCAATCCCTTTTCCTCCTAGCTCTTGGTAACCACCAATGTGCCTTCTGGCTGTATAAATTTGTCTACTCTTAGTGTTTCATATAAAAAGAACCACATGCTATATGGTTTTTCTGTCTGGTTTCTTTACTTTGCATAATGTTGCTAAGGTTCTTTTATGTTGTAGCATGGATATGCCACATTTTGTTGTTCCATTCATCAGTTGATAGACATTTAGATTGTTTTCATGCTTTGGCAACTGTGATTGGTGTTACTAAGAACACTCTTGTATAAGTTTTACTTGAGCACTTGTTTTCAATTCCTTTGGGTATACGGTAAACCAGTGGTGGCAAACCTATAGCACGCGTGCCACAGCCGGCTATTTATTATCACTGAAAGCTCTGAAAGGTTTGCTATGGCTGCACTAAACCTATACTTTTAACCACCTTCTAAACTGTCACTCATCCCAACAGTGTCCACATGGGAACATCTCTGGCAGCTAAGTGTCACAATTACTCTCCTCCCCATTGTTAGCTGCTAACTATAGCAGGGTGGGGTTCCCTAGGCTGATTTTTACAGAAAAGACTTGTGCTCACTCCTGCCTACCATGCAAACAAATACTGCTAAAGATACTATGGCAAGTAGGTGGGGCCATAAATCAACGGTGAAAGAAGCTTGCACTTCCCTTACCTTTTTGTTTCTTCTTCTTATAAAGAAGAGTTGGATTTTATTTTCTAAGGCCTCTCAGGACCCTGGATCTAGGAGGGAATCAGCTAACAAGATGGGTGTGAAAGTTTGTCAAATGAAGACAAGGAGGAAAGGATGGGCAAGTAGGCAAGAAGACACTGGAAAATGGAGCTCTGGGGGTGCCTGTGGACATGTAGGATGTCCAAGAGAAAGGGGCAGCAGAAGAAGGAGGAATGCCCTCCCCTGCTCTGACTGTAATGACCCAGCATCTCAAGGCCAGAGGGGATCTTAGACCTTCATGCCTTTCTCCACCTGGACTCTGGTAGGCCCTCTTCTCCAGCAGCGGCCACTGTCTGCCTCGCTGGTACCAGTTCTAGATAAGATGAGTTACCACAGTGCACACTCCTTCCATAGACTCCCAGTACATCCCAGTGCTGCATTTAAGGAGA